TAGTTTTATAATTGAATTCATAGATCAAATGTTAACATTTTTATTTTATATTTACATTTTTAGTTACATTAATTATTTTTAGCTAAGCCTGCATATTATGATTAGATTGCTTTACAACATTGATAAGACGCAGTCATGACCTATATCACTAAAATTTCAAGGAACAATTAAATTGCAATGCCTGTTAATTTTCTAAGAAATTGCTTTAGTTTCTTTGGAAAGAAGAGTTTGTAACATCAGAAGCTGAAAAGGAATTAATGCAATGCAATTTTCCTAAGAATTCAAAAGCTGAATTGGAATTGAAGACTGATGCAAAACTTTGACCTTTTTTGACATTTACTTGAAGGAAGTCCGTATAAATGTTAAATATCTGCCAATACCATTTTCATATTTGAGACAACTGCTTCTTTTACAATTTTCAGAGAGGGGTGAAGAAGTAAGAATTCTGAATTATAATAATAATAGGAAATGAAGCATCTCCTTCTGATGCTACAAGAGCTGAAGAGAGAAATATTGAAGAGTTTACCCCTAGGGTTTTATAAACAAGAACTTACTTGGCAACTGAAATTTTCAATTAATAGTGAATGACATAACCCTTACTCTTCTTGTAAATCAGTTAAATATTTCTAATTCAAATATTTATCTTATATAAAGCTGAGGACAGTGGCAGAGAGATAATAATTTGAATACAAAACCACACTCAGATATACAGTCCAGGCTTTGAGACACAGTTTTGGCTTGGGAATGCATCTCAAATCCTTTTCAAATCCTTTTTTTTTTTTTTTTTTTCTAATAAATAAATATTTTTTTTCTCCTCAGTGCCAATATCACCTCACCACATCAAAGAAGAAAGATTACATATTTGGGCAAGAAAATATATCTGATAAATCATTCCTGAGATGAGACAGAAGCCATGAGTGAAATGAAGGTTAGAGTTTTCAAAACCTCATTATTTAGCCAGCAGACTGCTAATCAATGCAAAACATTTTTTGTAAGTATGAAAACACTGGGATGCAAACATGTTTATTGCCTAATCTACTTATTTTCCCAAACATATTCTATTATTTGGTTTTGTTACTCCAGAGAGAATAATTTTCTGTCAGATGAGAATTTGGAGTTCATCTAGCATATAAACTCAAGACAGCTTAGGTGAAAACCAATTAACTTGGTAACCAAAAAAATCTGAAAGTGTTCCAATTCAGTACCTGGAGTCAGATACCAAAACAGATATTTAGTACTGTCCCTTGCCTTAGAAGGTCTCTACATGATAATCACACAGTACCATATGACAAAGATGAAACATTAATCTCCGAGGGGGCAGTAAAATCTCATTTTATATCATGACAGCATTTCTATTAAACAAGGGATAGAAACATCCTTAAAAGTTTGTCACAGCAAGCCACAGCTCCTGATTTTATGCAAAGTTATATGCAGGAATTAAAATACTATCTTTATCCTAAAGATAAAATAATATTTTATACTACTTATGGAATACTTATGGAAAACTTCTGTTATTCAGCCTGGGTTTAATTCCTTTTTTAAGATCCCCTGGTCTGTTATACAGCACATGTGCCAAGCAAATAATTTAAAAAACATTTTTGCATGATACATTTTGAGCTATGTTTTTACCTTCTGTAGATGGACAGCTTGCACTGCAATGTATGTGGCAAGGACAGTACCATAATTAGGAACTGATACTAAGGTAACATACATAAAAGTAAGTTTGGATCACTTAGCAAGGAATATGTATTATATGTATTTGCTAATAGATTTCATTTTAGATATTTCACTGCTATCTGTACAATCTTTTATCTACCAGTACTTTAATTCTAAGTTCTCTATCATATTGATATTCTAAAATGAATAAAGATATCATATTTGCTAAGCAACTAAAGGAAAGCTGCTACAAGAATGTTAAAAGATCCTAAAAATGACTGGTATAACAATGAATGCTAATGGTTATTGATGAGTATACAATATATATACTGAATCACACAATGACAGAATTACAGAATCACAGAATCACAGAAGTGTAGGGGTTGGAAGGGACCTCGAAAGATCGTCGGGTCCAACCCCCCTGCCAAAGCAGGTTCCTCAGAGCAGGCTGCCCAGGTAGGTGTCCAGACAGGCCTTGAATATCTCCAGAGAAGGAGACTCCACAACCTCCCTAGGCAGCCTGTTCCAATGCTCCATCACCCTTACCGTGAAGAAGTTCTTTCGCATGTCAGTGCGGAACTTCCTGTGCTCTAACTTGCAGCCATTGCCCCTTGTCCTATCCCCACAAACCACTGAGAAGAGGTTGGCTACATCCTTCTGTCCCCCACCCCTCAGATATTTATATACATTGAGGAGATCCCCTCTCAGTCTTCTTTTCTCCAGGCTGAAAAGACCCAGGTCTCTCAGCCTTTCCTCATAAGGAAGATGCTCCAGGCCCCGTATAATCTTTGTGGCCCTCCACTGGACTCTTTCCAGGAGATCCCTGTCTTTCTTGTACTGGGGAGCCCAGAACTGGACACAGTACTCCAGTTGAGGCCTGACCAGGGCAGAGTAGAGAGGGAAGATCACCTCCCTTGATGTGCTGGCCACGCTCCTTTTAACGCACTCCAGGATCCCACTGGCCCTCTTGGCCATGTGGGCACACTGCTGGCTCATGGTCAACCTGTCTTCCACCAGGACCCCCAGGTCCTACTCCTCAGAGCTCCTCTCCAGCAGGTCATCCCCCAGCCTGTACTGATACTGCGGGTTGTTCCTTCCCAGGTGCAGGACTCTACACTTGCTCTTATTAAATCTCATTTGATTTCTTCCTGCCCATCTCTCCAGCCGGTCCAGGTCCCACTGAATGGCAGCACAGCCTTCTGGCGTGTCAGCCACTCCTCCCAGCTTTGTGTCATTGGCATACTTGCTGAGGGCAGACACTATTCCCTCATCAAGGTCATCAATGAAGACGTTGAACAAGACTGGACCCAGCACCGACCTCTGGGGAACACCACTAGTCACAGGCCTCCAGCCAGACTCTGCTCCTCCGATCACCACCCTCTGAGCTGAGCCAGTCAGCCAGTTCCCAACCTGCCTTGATGTCCTCTCATCTATCCCACACCTCGGTGAATCCATGCTGACTACTCCTCATAACCTTCTTCTCTTCCAATTGCTTGGAGATGGCATCCAGAACAAGCTGCTCCAATACCTTTCCAGGGACAGAGATGAGACTGACTGGCCTGTAGTTTCCTGGATCCTCCTTCCTGCCCTTCTTAAAGTCTGGAGTGACATTGGCTATCCTCCAGTCTTCAGGCACCTCACCTATTCTCCAGGACCTTTCAAAGAGAGCGGTTCGGCAATCATATCTGCCACCTTCCTTAGCACACATGGATGCATCCCATTGGGACCTATGGATTTGTGTGCATTGAGCCCACTCAGATGCTCCCAAACCACTCCCAAATCCACCGGGGGGGGGGGGGCCCTCCATTTCCCAGACCCTTTGTCCTGTTGCCAGGGGCAAGGAGTCCCGGGGGAGTGTCCTTGAAGCAAAAACTGAAGCAAAGAAAGCATTCAGTATCTCTGCCTTCTCAGTGTCTCCCGTGACCAGGACACCCCTCTCATTCAGCAAGGGACCCACATTATCCCTAGTCTTCCTCTTGCTGTTTATGTACTTGAAAAAACCCTTCTTATTATCCTTTATCTCTTTTGCAAGCCTCATCTCTAGGTGTTAACCTTCCTCGTCGTGTCCCTGCAGGCCCTGACAACACATCTATAATCCTCCCAAGAGGACAGGCCCAAGAGAACAGGCCCTTTTTCCACATTTCATAGACCTTTCTCTTCCTTTTGATCTTATTGATGAGCTCCTTGCTCATCCACGCGGGTTTCCTGTCCCCCTTCCCTGATTTCGTATTCTTTGGGATGCACCGATCCTGAGCATGGAAGAAGTGCTGCTTAAATGTAGCCCAGCTCTCACAAGCATCCTTGCCTTCTAGCAGCCTGTCCCAGGAGATACTCCCAAGCAGGTCTGGGAAGAGGTCGAAGTTGGCTCTTCAAAAGTGCAGGGTAGCAATCCTGCTTTTAGTCTTACTTCCTTTGCCTAGTTCCATCTCATGGTCGCTGCATCCCAAGCTGCCCCCAACCTTCACATCCCTAACAAAGCCATCCCTGTTGATAAGAACGAGGTCTAGGAGCAGCCCCTGCCTCGTTGGCTCCTCCACCACCTGCATCAGAAAATTGTCCTCAACGCATTGTAGGAACCGTTTGGACTGCTCGTGTCTGGCTGAGTTGCTTACCCAGCAGATGTCTGGGTAATTGAAATCCCCCATGAGGACCAGCACTCATGATCGCGAGGCTACTAGCAGCTGCTCGTAGAAGGTCTCATTGACTTCCTCCTCCTGATCTGGAGACCTGTAGTAGACCCTGACCACTGTGTCTCCCATACCAGCCCACCCCTTAATTCTTACCCACAAGCTCTCCACTTATCCTTCACCCTCACTATGTCCTTTACCTTCACTATATACTTAATAGCAAAAGCATGAAGATTGCCAGTGTTCATGATTCAGTATATTGATGCAACTGGTTATGCCTTTTCTAAAGTAAGCAATTAATTTCTTGTTAAGTTAATTGCCTGAAAGTGTTCAGATTAAATATTTACAATATTCTTTCATTTTCTTTTGGTACTTTAAGAACCTAAATTAAAGTCCTTGCAACTGATCCCACTTAGATTTGTTGATAGATATCAATACCTAAATTATACTATTTGTGATTGGAAACCTGAATGCAGGGGAAAGAGAGGTCAAATTATGGCTATGCTGAAATCCATCTCCATTATATTATGCATACCGTATTCTCCTCAGAAGGAGCTGCAGCCACAATGTATTCTTAGTATTAAAAACCTAACAATACTTTTATCAGATATTATCACTGCACAGGAAATTGTTTCCAGTGTCAAACATCCTTTTACAAAACAAGACTACACATTTTCACATGCAGAACAGTGGAAGGATCAGTGTAGATTTGCTTACCTGTGGTTGACCTGATTGTTGAGGTGATGTTGGAAGATGCCATCGCAGGTATACATTCATCATCTTGGGAATAGCCTGCCTGAATGGCACGCAAGTAACTGTGGCTTCTTGTTCGGAAACATCCAGGGAGGTCAAGGGCATCCATTGCCTGAGCTTCAACTTCACTAAACACTGATTCACACACCGATTCAAATTGCCCATTAACCTCTGCTTCACTCATCTGAATAAACAACAACAATGCATTTGATTTTTGACTTGCTTTTTTTTGTGATCATCACGGCCTCAACATCTCAAATGGACACCTGTACATTGATGAAGAACTGTTTTAGCAAATAGTTAAAATTTAGTAATCCCTTCTGATCACATTCACATTTTTTTTAAACTTACATCAGCTGTTTATATGTATATAGTAAGTACATTACACATGCCATATAATTAATTGTACAATTAATATTTTTTGGCCTATTCAGAAGACTATAAATACAGGTTTAGTGGTAGCCAACCAATCTGAGGTCACTATGTGCAGAAATCCATGTTCTGCCTGCACCAGAGAACAGAAATTATCTACACTAATATTAGTCCCTAAAAGGTGAGGGTGGATTGCTTGGGCTCCTCACTAATCAACAAGGTTAGGGCTTGTGTGGACATTCAACCTGTGCAGCTGGTTGTTTTCTTCATCTCATTACAAAAGAGCTCAGGGAAGTATCTCATACTTGGCTCTGAGAGTTCAAAGGAGGTGATGCTTCAGAAAGGTTTGAGAGGTAGTGCATCTAAAGTTGTGCCCAGTGAAGCATGTGAAAGAATAACCATTCTTTGAAATAGTGTGAAAAGTGGTCAGATGGGTAAGTAACACTTGGACCACCTTCAGGTGAGAAGTGTCCTACACTAAACCTTTATTTCTTGGTTAACTGTGAGCCATTCTACTACTGTGTAAAAAATGAGGTGCCGCCACTACTTCTGCCTTTCCTTCAGCAGCATTATTTTAAGTCTGACACTTCCACCACCATGTTTGTTGCCTGTCAGAGCACACTAGATGTGCTGTGACACCACCTACCAGGTTGTCCCTTTGGGAGATTTCAGCACCACCCTCCAGCTCCTCTCAGGGCTTGGACAGAAGCCAATGTCTACCTGCTGACCCTGCAGGTTGGGCGTGAGACAAAACTGTACATTTTGAAGAAGCTTTTGTGATTAAGAGTGCTTAGACAGGCTGGCTTGGATTAGGGAATGTCTTTGCAGGAAACTGAATTGCAGTTGTGAAATGAGTGCCTAAATTCTACCTAGATCATTTTTAACAGGTCAGCCCTGACTATCTGTAATAAACATAATTCAAAATTATCTTTATCCAAAGCCAGATAGGAAGCATTTAAGCACTGGACAGACAAATACATGACCTCCTGATAACTGCTCCTGATAAAAATTCTTTAAAAAGAGAGTGCTAGAAATCAGGATCAGTATAAATACCAAGTGAAATTAGTAGTGCCACTAAACAGCGCATCCAGTTGATTTTACTTTTCCTATATGGGTGCTAAGTGCATTTTTCATTATTACTGTTCCTAGCACATTATTCATTATGTAAATAGAGTTAGTGCAAATGTTTCAAATGTTTTAGGTTTTTGATTAAGTAAATGGAAATTTCATACAGAACTTCTGATGATAATGAATAACTGATATTTTAATTTCATGTAAGACACTTTGGCTACTAAATCTTCTCAGAAAGGAATTACATTACTCTTCATAAAATTTGCTTCTAATAAAGTTAAATAGATTTATGCAATCTCAAAAATATTTAAAAAGAAATCTTACTCAGAAATATTTTGCATATATCATTGATCAGGAAATTTATGGTAATGTAGTCCATAAACACAGTAAGTCCTAACCACTTCTTTCAAACTAAGGTCACTGACAGTAGAAAAATAAAAGTTTTAGAACTTAAATTAGAAATATAAACTATGGAATCCAGCATCTTTATTAACTGGATCTTTGGTAAAGAGTGAAAAAAAAAAGCATCTCATGAAAAAAAGACATTAAAAATATCACAAATCATACAAACCAGTATTATGTAGATGGGACAGGAAGGTGATGGTGTCATAGAAAAATAACAGGAGACAGCAAAGGTTCAGAATGTATTATTTTAATACATTTACTTCATATAGTATCTACCAAATGCAGTTATTACTGATCTGGAAACAACTGGAAAGTGAGGTAGAAAGTATGTGGTTGAAATGAAATTATGTGGATTATTGAAGACTGAAAGTAAGGAATTATATCCAGCAGGACTTAATTAATCTGGCCAATTGAGCAATCTAACTGCAAATGAACTCTATTGTGGACATCTTTGCAGGTAATGTGCATTGGAATGAAGAATTTGAACCACTGCTGAAACCAGTTAGTCATTAAGGATAGCTCAGTGAACATTTCCATGCATAGAGATGATCAAAAAGGCAGAAGGTGTTAGACTAGTTCTATATTATAGCATTATCTTTGACAGCCAACAGCACTTGCTTTGAATACTTTGTATGCAGGATCTATTTCTTTACAAATGTTATCAAAAACACAGTAATGAAAATGGAAAATAGGCAAGCCAGCATAATGAAAACCAAGGCATGAAAATGCTGGGGACAGGTTTCACAAGGAAGCTTATTAAAAATAATAAAAGCTTTGGAAAATGACTGGCTGTTTCTAATTCTGATGCGTGCTATACAAGATTATAGTTAGATTTGTCCACAAAAATAAAGGAACTTGACTGAGGGGCATTTGTTAGGCAAGTAGTACATCCCAATGCTCTACAGTCAGTGAAGACCGACAAGCACTTCCAGAGGGCTCTCAGCTCACTTAGGGTGTGCATCGTCCTGGAAGAAACTCTTTCACTCCATTAACTACAGAGGAAGTGCTAGTTGTTTCCTCAGTTAAAAGCCTCAAGTTAGATGAGCTGAATCCAGGCCTGAATAGCCACACAGTACAAATTGAATGTGAATGAATACAAAATGTTTAAGAAGATTTTTTTTTTTTTTTAAATCATAAGCATTGCATATAATTAGCTACTATATCCTTAGGTGCCCCACTGAATGCTCAAAGGAAATCAAAGTACACGTCTGAGAAGAGAGGAGGGTCCTGATGTCATGAAGCAACACAGGGAAAAAGTGTTATGACAAATGAACATTAGAAATGTTGGAAATTTTGTGTAAAGTCCTCTGTTAAATGGAATATCCACATACTTCATAAGGCTGTTTGTTCTTCAGGCCTGATTCAACATGACTTAGTACTCAATAACAAGTATAAAACCCGCAGGATGTAAAAATGGCTTTTTTCAGAAGTTCCTGTATACAGAATAGTTGATGGGACTCATTCTTTCACTCGAGAAGAGTGAAGGGATTGATTTCAGAGATATCTTAAGCTTGCAACCCACATTTTCTGAATAAGAATACATCTTTCCAGAGGATAACTGTTATAGAGTTTGCTACTCTGTGCTTGATCTGAATCTTCTTAACGTTTAAATATTTAATATAGACTGAAAATAAAAATACCAGTACTTACATTTTTTCTGGAAATAAAAAAAAAAAGGAAAAATATTGTCTGTTACGGTGTCCCTGTGCTTCTAGGATTCATTATTTTTCTTTAAATTGTGAACAAAGGTAAAATTCTTTAGATCTGAATTACTTTGACAATTCACATCCTCAGTTTGATATTAGTTAAAATGAACAAGCAAACAAACAAACAAACAAAACCCATCCACTTGTAACAACACTTGCATCTGTGATTAACCCATAAGAAAAGTTGTAACAAGAATTTCCCACCTGACTAACACAGCTGGCCTGACTGAGTGTGCTCACTGCTCTCATATAGCTCTGATTCCTTGAGCGAAACTTTGGGGAATTGTAGTTTGCAGAGGGATCCAGGTTGTGACCCCCAGGCACGTCACTTGCAGTTTGAAGGTAGCTCTGACTACAAAGGAAAGAGGAAGAAAAAAGGAAAGGGTGTAAAACTATAGATGGAATCAATTAGGAGACTAAAGACAGTAATTCGCTGAGACTCACAAATCCATTCCCCAGGGTCAAAAATCTTTCTCAGTATAGAGCAGCATAGATCTCGTGTAGTCAAGCGCCTTAACACAAGCAGAGAATCTGTTTGCAGTTCTGCCACCTGGATGCTATGAAATTTTAAATACCTTTACCGTGTTTAAACATCATCAATCCTCCTGATTATTAATGTTGAACTTTCCCAAAAGAGAATGTCTAGGTCAACAAGAACAAGAGGCAGAGCTAAAGCATAAACCAAAGTAACCCAAAATGTCTCTTCATAGATAAAATCTGTTACTTGTCATCTGTTCTTCATCAAGGTGTTAGGCATCAAGAGACCTTTTATTTTCAAAGGATTGATATATTTTAGCAAAAAAAAAAAAAAAAAAAAGGATTAATAAGGTACCCCTGCACAAAGCTTTAGAAATGCTTTCCTTATATCTCCCAGTTTAGAGGACTGGGACCATAACACAATGCTGAGCCCCCTTCACTGTGCTTTCACTACAGGGGTATGTTAATCTTTATGTCTCATGTCATATATCTTGATCATTTATCATGCCAGGAAAATAAAGGGAGCCTGGGAAAATAACTGTGCTTTATTTTGACTGCAGAATTTAATAAAAAAAAAAAAAAAAAAGATAAAAAAAAAGATGTGTATGAGGTCTACCAGAGTTCTCAGAAAGTCTGAAAAAAATGTTTTAGGAGTCTTGTGTTGTTCCTCCCTAAACAGGAGTGCAGAAATTAAAGAATATATCAGGAGTTTGGAGTTTTTTGGAATTTCATGTGGTAAAGAGGCACTTCTAACATTTATTCCTTAAAGGTAGCTTTAACAGAAATGCAGTTTCTGTGAAAAATGGATTTGCACCAGTTAAATGCCTATCAGTATTGGCAATACAGTTATTTCAGGCCAAGTTGGCAGCTACCCAGTGCAGCAGTGGCTGCGATGTGTGCCAGGGCACGTTCCCCCTGAAAGGGGAACTTTCCTTTCTGGAAGGACCAGACCACTCAGCAAGTGAGAAAGCAACAATTTTCATTTCTGGTGTGAAGAGTGTAACAAAACATGAGCTTGCTTCTTATATTTAAGAAACATCAAGCATGACCACAGGCCAGTGCTTGAGGAAGGAATCATCAGCCTTCCTTGCTAAGTGGGCACAAACCTGAGCTTGGGCTGGGCTGGAAGCAGTCCATGGGAGCACTCAGGGAGGAGTCTCAGGCCCTTTAACATGGTGCTGACTAAAGGAACAAGTAGCATTGAGCTCCCTGTGTGACCACCTTCTTTGATATCAGGCATGTAAGACAACCCAACATCCCCCACATCTCTAGCTGCAAGAGCAGATGGGATTATAGACCCCCTGACCTTACACTTGGGAGATCTGTTCTCAAACACTTCCATGTGTTATCCCTGCCATGGTCATTTCAGACCATGTTTCATGGTCAACACAGACATAGCTTTACTTCCTCAGTGCTTCAGCTAGCCTATGTGTTTCTCTAAAATGGGCTGCCTTTTATTTCTTCTTCTTCTTCAAAGAAAAAAAAAAAAAGACATTAATTTCATGAATTTTATTTTATTTAATTAATTTATTTATTGATTTTAATTTAAATTCTTAAGAAATCCCCCTGGAGGCGACACAATTTTTACTTCCTGCCTTTATTCTATGCCTTCCATAGAATACCTCTGTAACCTCAAGACACATTATAACAAAACTATGCTATAACTGCTAAAACCAAAATGAAAATGTATGAGATTGATGCATGCCTCTGAACGTAGGTTAATTAAATCATTACTGTCAAAATGATTTGCAGATTAAGATAGCTCACTGATAGTGGGTCTAATTTGGTGTTAAGTGATGAAAACAAGAACTGTAGCGGCATTTTTTTGTTCCCATAGGTATGAAGACAAATATAATAGATGAGGCAAAGTGATGTAGAGCCTCCCTATCTATATTTAGTTTCTGTATGTAACTAAACCTCCTTTCTTCTACAGGGAGCAGGCTGATGATTGTCACCCGCTTTGTATCATCCTAAATCTTTGCATATGCTTTACTAAATCTGTCTAGTATTCCTAATTCAGTATTTTTCAAAATAGTTAGATGAGTCGCTTCTGGACCCTCTGCTTGCCATCAGGTGGCAAAACCTTGGATTCTGAGTTCAGAAGCAGTTTGTGAAAGAGGTAATTGAGGTTTCTAAATTAAAACATGGGCCACATTAAGAAAAGAAAAAGTCAATAGAATTAAATTATAAATAAATAATTATTTTATAAACTGCTTAGAAATTAATTAAACTGGCTCCTTTGCTAAGCAATGCTCAACAACATAGCATTTCATTATGGAGATACGGGTTCCTTCTGAGGTATTGCTATCATTACATACAACCAACAATTTATACAGAAATAATTTATTAAAGGAAGAAGCCCATGGTACTGCTAAACCGCTGAGTTTTGATGGATGAGTTTGGACATCACCTGATAGTTAAATCATTTTTCACTTATCAGAGGAGGGAAATTTATTCAAAGGACTGTAGCAAAATAAAAGAAATGTTACACATATTAGGCTGTAAAAGCAATTTCACATTCATTCAGTTAATACTTTGAACTCTTTTCTGATAAAAAGAAATGATTAGTTTTCACTTCTAAGATATACACTCAAATTAATCCTCTAGGATAAATGTCTCAATGCATGGCAAAAATTATGATTGTGCTATAACCATGATCCAGAATCAAAATATTTTTCATTCAAAAGTTACAGAAAGTTGCCTTCAAATATCATTATCCATTGTTCGAGGAACTTTTATTCTTGTCAACAATGCTACAAATACACACCGAATGTGTCTGAAGCAGCTGAACAGCAGCTGAACAACTTCAGCATGTAGTGCTGGGGGATTTCAGGCATTCCCTCTGTGGTCTTTACCACAGCACTTTGCAGAACTCACTTTGTCACTTTGTGTAGTGCTGAGCCTATGCTTTGTCATCACTGAGTTCAGATGCTGATGAACACCCAGGACAGTTTGCAGCTTGTTTCCTGAGGCCTGTGTCATCACTCTATGACTAACATTACTGTAAACTGCAATTACAGGACACAGTACTGTGCTGTGACTTATATAACAACTGGATGTTCTGCAGAAGACACATATTTTGGTCATTTGGTTAAAAGGTATGAATAATAGTAAAACAACATGGTTTCCTTTTTAGGACACCCTGAAATTCCTGATCTAGTGACTGATGTGGTCTTACACCTCATATCTATACCAAAGTCCAAGCAAATTAAACAAACTCCCTAGCTTCTCCCGACAAATTCAGATTGCTGGATAGCAGTACTTGACAGTGTAGGCAAACCAGTCAGAAAGAGGTCTCTGTCACCCTATTTCTTTTGTTTTGTTTGCCTGTATGACATTTTCTAATGAGCGATTGATATCATATACTTAATATTTTTTTCCACAAAAATAAATAAATAAATAATAAACCTGATAACTAATAAATAAACATTAATAAACAATAAATAAATAATAACGACAATAAATAATTAATAAATAATTAATATATAATGCATGTAATAATATAAATAAAATAATGAATAAATAAATAAATAAATACATAAATAATAAAACTAATAACTTTTTACAGAAGTATGAACATGATGTCAATGCAGCAAATGTGGCAGACTTGCCACGACCACTACTTGATCTACTCACATACATTCAAAATAGTGATCACTCCCCAGAGCACCTGTTTTCTGCCAGATATTCATCTACCAGTGAACCCTGGGTCGAGGAAGTACCAAACATGAATTAACATCTTCCTAGGCCCGTAAAAGTTGCAGCAAGAAAGTTGCTTTCTGACTCTGAAAGGACTTATCATCAGGTTTATTAAGAGAGCATTGGATATATAGAGAATCCATTTTCTATTGAATTAATTTCTGGAATCATAATATTCTAGAATCACACCTTTATATTTGCATGATTATTCCTGCATTTGTCAAAAAATCTAAGAATGAATGGGAACATTAAAGAAGGTACAATCGCCTCTGTTTAAATCAGTACCTTCAATTCAGAAGTATCATTCTGGGACAAAAAGATAAAATTTGTAAAAAGAATTCATCTTGAGCACTGAAAAGGCAGGTGCATTAGGATTAGCAAGGTAGTATAAGTTATCAAAACCTATTTTATCAAGAGATTTGCATTTCAATGGATATTCATTTCTCTATCCGGATCTATCTTAACTATGTCTTTGTAGGTACATGAAATAACTCATCGACCAGAATCTAATGATTAAGCTTAGCTAGCAGTGCCATTGTACAGCAGCTGCGAGTCATACTGCGTCTCTGTGGATCCCTGCTGAAGTCAATAGAGCTCTGCATGAGGGCACAGATGTGCCTGCGTGCAGTCCATTGGAAAACTCGGAGTATAGACATTAAGCCTGATTCTCCCTTTGGAATAGCACAGCTAGTCTGGTTCTTTGAAAAACTGAAAGTACACATAAATCTGGAGAATTTAGTGCAGAATTTCTTTTCTAATCTCTGCTGTACAACAGCCTCCTTTTTGATCAGTGATAGATATGAGAATTTGGGCCAAATTAAATTTTTAAGAGGCCTATATATTTCATCATTGACCCATAGCCTTTTTTAAAAAGGTGTCTGAAAGATATTGAACATTTGATTTATTACAAGAAAATGGTAGGAAAGAGGTGGAGACTGCTGTTTCCCTCCTTATGAAATGTCCACTAATCACTGGAAGGAGAGAACCCAGTAAGTAGGGATTTTGTACAATATGAACCAGAACAGAATGAGAGGAAATAATTCAGTACAATTAAAAAGCCTTATAGTTTTATACCTCTTTGCAAAGATACAGAGGATGTGGGCTTGATCAAACCTGTACTCCAAAACTTGCAACATGTGGATGTAATAAAAGTATGTTCTGGGAAATCTAAACTCA